TAAATGTCACTGAATGTATTTTGCTCAACAGTAAACAGGTGTACCATACTGAATATTGTTAGGCCCACATTTCAGCCCATGTTTTGGAGAAAATGGTATTTAAACTATAGTATTAAGTTAAACAATTTAATGATTATTTTTGTTAGTAAGTAGATTTTTACATTATTGAGTGTTAGTCCCATTGCATGCTGGGATAAATGCAAATAAAATAAGGACACAAGGAAGAATCAGACATGTTTCATAAAAAAGTATATATACTGTATGTATATATATATATACACACTGTATGTTTATGAATACCACTTCTTCTCCTTCTTCCATGCTTCCCCTACCTTTGATTGCACTATTCCTTTGTCTATTGTCTGTTGCCTAAAATACACTGACAGCCTCTGTGCCAGAGACAAATTCCTTGCATGCTCAACATACTTGATGATCAAAGCTGATTCTGATTCTGATTCTGATTCTGAAATGTAAAGAAAAGACTGGGTAGGACAATCTGCCTTCCCCCTCTTCTGCCAGCAGTAGGTTTTCTTTTTGAGAATGATCCCGCCTCTCTGTCGTCCTGGTGTTCAGTTAGTCCTCATCCAATGTTTACCCAGCTCTGACAGAATGAGAATGTGTGCATTACGTGGTCATAATCACTGGGCGCAGTAATCTTTGACCCTTGTGGCACGTTTCTCATGCAGCTGGCTGACAGGCTGCCTTTGTGCTCCCCTGAGAGATTCACTGCCTGACTATAACTCTGCAGGCTGGTGTCCTCACATTAAAGATACAATAGATCATTCATTTTCATTTTTTATCTATTAATGGAAATTGCTTGTCAGAAGCTTGGTTTGCCCTTCATAATTTAAAACTATCAAATATTATAAATCATGAAAGTGTTAAAAGTATTGGGAAATCTTACTGAAAAGCACCAACATCATAAAACCATATAAAAGCAAAGCCAGTAGTGTGACAGCAGTGTTGGGACTGTTTGGCAGTTTTGTCCTGGATGCTAAATTTAATGGAAATAAACTGCTTTTTGTCCTGTAACTTGATTCTCCTTGCTTCATCATATAATGGCCTTATGGTTCATTTTGTTTGAAATGTAATTCAGTGCTCATATCAGATTAGTATAATGTTTCTGTTTACCAAATCTTACAACTACTGTATTCATGATACACAAACACGTGACTTACTGGCTTTGATTGACTTCTTAGTTTATTACAGCAAAGGTTTATAACAGTGTTTTGTTTAAATCAGTTTCAGTAAATTATGAACTGTGAAAATCTGACACGTTTTACTTAGTCTTCCTCTTGTATTAGGGTCGGCAGCAACCGGTTTTTAGGTTTTAAATGCATAAAAGTACCACATAAATTTGTTTATTATAAAGGCTTTTTGACTTTGTCAGGAACCTGTATTTAAACAAACAAACAAAAAAACTATTTCACTAAATTATAAAATGCTCTGGTGAAAATTATGACCTTTGTATTGTTAGGGTCGGTTTTGATCCAGTTATAATACAAGATTATAAAACAATAATTAGTGCCAAAACTGAAATCATAAGCACATTGTCAGCTCACTAACACTGTTAGCCAGCAGCCCACTGACAGTCAGCTCCTCTCCCAACCCTGTGAGCTTTAGTTAGGGGCTTCTCTCTTTGCCTGGTTGTCTCCTTCCCTGGACAAATAAAGCAAACAAAGACAGACATGTAAGGCATGAATAAGACCAACAATTCAGTTTAGAGTTGATGACTTGCAGAGTACACATCTCCAGTTTGCAGCATTCAAAAATAAGAAGAAGAGTTACAATAAGCCAAGCTCTGGATCATATCTTTGCTGAAATTGAGGCAGAGGACACAGAGCAGCATAGCGATACACAATGAGCAGGTTTCTGAGGAGGAAGACGATGTAGAGTATCAATCAGAAGACACAGACACATCTGATGAGTCTGATGAGGAGGTCACCGGTGCTGAAACTGCTCCTGCTCCTACTGAAACATTTAAATCCAAAAGTGGTAACATCTGTTGGAGCGCAGTACCTCCTGACTTACATGGCAAGGCAGCTGCTGCAAATGTCATCAAAATGACCCCCTGGGATCACAAGGTTTGCTGTGACGAGAGTGACACCAAGACATGTTTTGATCTGCGGTAACTATGCAGCCATGGTTAGCAGACAAAAGCCTCGATGTGAACAGTGGTTCAGGGGAGAGGGTAAAAAAACCAGAGTATGCAAATCACACTCTCCTCAGCCCCGACCCTAAAAGCCCTCCCTTCCACAGCAAAACAGTGACAGAGAAGTGAAAAACACCTTTGGCATTCTTTTAAAATTTTTTTTGATGATTGTTCTCAATGCCAAGCTTTATTTTTCAGCACCAAAGACTACAGCCATCATTCTAGCGCCATAGCCTTGAGGAAAATGGCAGCCTTAAGACCCAGAGGTCATCAGTTTCTATCCCAAACTGACTGTGACTGTGCTGCAATACACTTTGCAATATGGCTGCAATGGGAAAAGGCAGACAGACAGGCGGAGATGAGATGAGCTCTTCAGAATCTTCAGCTTGGAGAGGGAGAGAACAGCTGGGGCCTTGCGCTCCCTCTGTGTCGGTCTTCTCTTTGTCACAGGTAAAAGACTCTTGTTTTCAGGCAGTAATCAGACAGCCCTAGGGCACTGTAAAGACCCTGTTCTCTTTTCATCTCAACTGTTGCATACACCCCGCTAATTGGAATCCTGCAACTGGGTCACAGGCATTGTCTCTTAAGTGCTGTTAAGTCACTTAGAAATGTGAATGTGGAATTATGGCCGCCTCAGATGCATGATTGAGTCTCCCCTCTGCTCAATATTAATGCCTCCATTTCAATCTCATCGCAGACTCTGATCCCCCCCCCCTTTTTTTTCCAATTAATATTTCTTGCTGTTCCCATTTTGATACAGTTCTGCCTGAAACCAGAAGTCATCACTGCTTGGCAAGTGGAAAATAAATCTATATTCTGTCAGCTTGGTTTTATTGTAACATTGAAATGAGCAAGTTTTGTCACCCAAAGAGCCCAACTAAACATTTCAGGAGCACTGGTGTGACTACATGTGTATGTCTATCTGATCTGCTGTACATGGTAAATTAAAGAAACAGCATTAAGCAGTTTCTTGCAAGATTCACCAACCAATCCTTTTCTCCCCACTCCAATACCTGATTCTGCAGTTTGCCAGTGATTAAAATAAGACTTGCCAGTCTAGCATGCCACCACAAATGAGCAAAACCCTCTGGGAGACCAGAGAGACCAAGCAAGGCACATTTCCAATTATACATCCAAATGACTCATTTTCTTATTGGGCTTCCTATAATTGTGGTGGGTATTGAGTACATGCAACTCAATTTGTCTTACATATTTGTTGGTAGGATGGTAATAGAGTTGACAGAGCCAAGGGGATGATTTGAAAGAACAGCTAAAAAAAAAAGATATTTCTTTGATCTGCTTCATTCTCTTTAATACTGTTGAAGTTTAAAAGAAAACTCCGCTTCAATCGTCTGTGAATGGAGAAATAGGAAGACTATCATGTTTGAGTAATCAGAAAATGTCTCTTCAGAGAAACAGACTTTTTTTTCTGACTGCTGAAATTAACGAGGCTTCCAGTGATATGATTATCTGTCCAGTGGATCATCATAATGTCAAGTAAAAAAAACAAAAAAAAACAAGACAAATTAAATTACTGCAAATTCTTGAAAACTTTGTTTCGTTAAAAACATTACTTTCTTAAACCAAGAAAAATAGAGTTCGTGCACAAACACACTTCAAACTAAGTTAGAGCTACTACATTTAGAGCTCATCGCTGTAAAGTCTTCTTCATCCCTGCATAGGAAACAACCAGTTACTTCTAAAGCAACTGAAATACATGTCATCACAGGCACATTAAAGGCACAGCGCTGACACATAAATGTTTCACACATTGCTTTTTCAGCAGAGCATATGACACAATGATCTATAGAAGTGAATCCAACTTTAATGTCCCATTTTCATATTTTTCTTCTATAAAAATCATTTTATGACTCCATTGCCATATGTTGTCTATCAAACTCAAGTTGAGAGTTTGCAAGTAAAACACAGTTTTCAAAAACTGATTTAAAAAATAAAGCCTGAAGCAGAGATAAACTGTGTCCAAGCATATTGTTTGACATATAGGTACTGTACAACTTCTGAAAACCACAAGAGTGTGTGAACACAGTTCACAACAAATAGTGGAGACAAACAGAAGGATACACACAGCACATTTACCTAGTTGGGTTCAAACCAGTGACCTCACTGTCACAGGGCATGTGTTCAGATCATAGTCAGCTCCTTTAACGCCTCAACTATCAGCTTGGCTGGGGATGTAAGATCCTTTTGTTTTTACACCGTAAAAAATTAAATAGATTACATATTCACCAAAATGAAGTTTGGTGAGTTTTGACAGTTCTGAGTGTTGCACTACTAAATGTTTTGAAAATGTTATTCCTCACACACTAATGATCAAATTTCACACACTAACCGAGACATGAACAGAGATCATGTCATTATTTCATACAAGGTATATTTATGTGAAACTAACTAATGACACAATTTTTAAGATGTACAACTCTGAAACAGAATAAAGTATTGAGACGAAAAGCAATTTGTGCAGCTTAGTCTGGGCTTTTCATATTTGAAATTTGTTCAAAACTAAATCATATTTGAAGACTGTGAATACTTTTAAAGTTCCAGAAAATGGCAAAAAAACCATGTTGCTATCAGACCGGGCTGGTTCTTATTCCCAAATGAAAAGAATCAGTCCACAGAATCCAGAGAAAAGAAAAGTTCTGTTTCCAACTCATGCGGTTTGGAAGGTAAATGCATAAAAGAAAAAAAAAGTCATTATGATAACACCAAAGTGGTGGCCATTTGATGTGAAGTTTGTTGTCTGATTACTGCAGAGGTTTCTGAACATATCCACCAAGGCTGTTGTCTGTGGGGCGTACAGTTTCTGAGAGACTTTCAGGTGACAATAACATGGGCATAATAAGTAGCATTTCATTTAAAAAAGGTATAGACATTACATAGAATACAGTTAATATGGATGACAGTAAAATTAGACATGTCATGTAGCATACAGTGCAAGTCCAGTGAACAGTAGTCATTTCATCTCACAGTTGTAAATTCAAAAAGATTTCTTTAGTTAAAATAAAAACAAACAAAAACTAACAACCACTCAACTTTGAATTACTTGGTTTTGGAAGCATTATAACAGGGAACCCCAGGAAAAGTAGACAAGTTTGGATAAGTTGCTATTATCCATTCTGTGCAGTGTCATTATTCATTCTCATTTAAATTAGCATTCAGACTTTGTATTACTTTGTATCACTCTGTGCGTTTGTGTTATATGCTGGATGCAACAGTTAAAACTGTAGGTTTGATTTGGGGTGCTATGTAAGGGAGCAGTTAGACGTAAAGTGCATGTAAAGCAGTGTACTGTGGGAGTGAGAACAGAAGGGACAGCTGTGGTTTTGTTGTGAGGCGAGATGCCCATTGCTCACTGCAGGGTAACTGTGAAACAGTTGGGGTCTAAAAGGGACCTTGTCCCTGCTCCCTGCTGGGCTCTTCCTGTCCAAAGCTGTTATGGTGTTCCCCGTCTTTGTTCAATATCTAAATGCTCCCTACTTAGGAGTTTAAAACCCCCTTTCTCGCTAATGCTCCTAGCAATGTGTTGCCATTGTCGAGCAGGTCATCGAAACATGTGCAAAACTTACCAAGCATATGTCACAAACCAAGGTGCTTTTAATATGACAACAACATTATAAATGTATTATTGTGCACACTCCGATTCAGAAGGATGGAGGTCATTGATTATCATGGACGCACAAACATCCATTTGGGTCAACTGTGTAAACACCAAGCAGATAGTTACATATTAGTCACTAGATACTTCTTTAGTTATTTTTCAGTTGCATTTGAATAATAATAATAAAAAAAACAAAATACATGAATGTACACATCAGTCATCTAAACTTTTTCTTAATCGGGATCATTGCCAACAACTCATCAGCAACCTGGCAGCTACCAAAGCCCTTCATGTTGGCTCCTCCCGCCTCAGTTTCTAGTGCTGGCCCAAGCAGAAATAGGTCTGGCTGAGCCAGGCTCCTTTGGTTGTGATTCTGGCTTCAACTGTGATTCAGCCATGCATGGAGGAGAGGTCTGGCTCCCTCTAGGAGGAGGCTGATGTCTCCATAGTGGACAGGATACGGATCACCTCAGCTCTCTGTGTGGGTGAGATGTGCTGGGTCATATACACAATAGAATCCATGGCAACCTCTGGATTGGCTTGAACAAGGCTGAAAATAAAAGGAGAAAACAAAAGACAACATCAAAATCATGCAAAGAAAGGTGGACATCAGGTATTTGTCAGACGGATAAGGTGGGGTGAAGACAGGTGAAAATTAGTTGCAATGTATAATCTGTCACTACACTGAACCTGGACTTCTTTAGAATTCTCACCCACGAATCTGTTTGAGGATGTGATCTCGGCGGATGTACTTGATGTTCTCATCAACGACGGACCTTGCGCCCTCTTCTTCAGCTAGTTGCCTCTCCAACCATCCCACCACCTCTTCATTGTTATCCCACAGATAGGCCTGCATAATGCAGAGAGGGAGTATTAAAGGAGAGAAGATGAAGTGTTGTGTATTTATGAGTAAACAAGGCCTAGAAATGGCACTTTTTCTAATAGTGTGAATGTGGACAAAAGTAACTGGGAAAAGAAAAAAAAGACATGAAACAATTTATGGATAAAATATATAAAATGTCATGAATCAACAAACATATTTGCAACAACAAAAGAGATGGACAGGCAAAAAGTGGGGGGCTGATGTTTTGTTGACTGGACCTGATAGGAAAATTAGTATTCATGAGTGCTGGCATCTTGGATTCCAAACAAAGCCAGGCTGGAGGGCTGAGCAAAGATTTGAGAGTGGGTAGGTTTAATAGGCTCTTGCCTTTTCATGAAGAGTCCAGCTTGAGGTCCACAAGAACATTTAATGCCCTTATTAAATATATTTAATCTTTTTGCTTTTAATTAAGAAACAGCATGTTGCTCTCCTATCTGCACGTGCCAGGGCTGTGATTAATTGTGGCTTAAGACAGCCGGCCCTGATTGGGTTAATATACTAGCTAACAAGAAGGCCACTTCTTAGGAGATCTCAAAGGCTAGCCAGCTCACGTCGCCCGTGGAGCTGGTCCTCTTTGCCTGAGTCTGGGATGAAACAGCATTCATGTATCTTTGAGGGATGCTTATTTTCATTAACTACCACTTATCAGTCCATCTATATTTAATCACGATGACTTAATAGGAATGCTTTCTACTTCTTTATCTGGTCTACCTTGTAGAGTTTCAGGATGGAAAAAACTATGTAATCATTCCCCAGGGCTAAGAATGTGTTTACCTAAGAGGACCTACACACTTCCCTGAAAAGAAGTAAACCTTAGACTTTATTTCACATTCAGCCCTTTAATACTGGCATAAAAATAAACACACTTATTACATCATAGTTAAAGGCCAGAGCTAGAGGTGTGTCTATATTTTTGTCCTCCCCAGTTACATACATGAGAGGGTCAGAATATTAAGAACACCTCTGAATATAATGCAGTCCAGTACAACACCACCTTTAACTACCGTTTCCCATACATTAACTTATTTGTGGCGTGCTGCCACAATATCAGCACGGAGCGCCATGTATTGATTTATAATAGGTTAAACCTTATTTCACTAGATTGCCGTGCATAATGCCATGTATTCACTCAGCCCCTCCATGCCCCTCTCTATTTCTCTCTCTCTCTCTCTCTCTCTCTCTCTCTCAAACACACAACCATGACGACAGACCATTTGTGAACGGCTCCTCCTCCCCGTTTTTTTTTATTATTATTTTTTTTAAACACACCACTTTCAATCATGGAGATCCAACTCTTCTAACATGTCATTAGCAAGCTAGTAAGACTAGCTAAGCTAACATTGGAATGAAGCTATAGCATGGATGTACAGTATATGGACTGCTGTGCAAGTGGAAAAAGTTCATGCTAGTTCATAAACTCTGATGCTGAATGTTTGCCCCTCAGTCCAGGAGAATATCGAAAAACACATGGGAAAGCTGCCTAGACCGATCATTCTGATTAGCAAACCAATTGATTCGTTTTGATTATTTATTGGCTTCAACCAGTGCTGCTGAAGCAGCAAGAGAGGGTCAGGCAGAAAGAGATGGAGGAGATCAACATGCTGCTGCTGTGGGAGAGCTAGTGCAGAAGGGACAGGTCATATGAACAGCACAACAGTACTATAGCAACAAAATATTTAATTAAAAAAAAACATAAATGTAAAAGTGACTTTATGGTCATTTTCCATTTTTGAAACTCTACTGAGCTGGGTACTTCAGCTGTGCAGGGAAGGCTGAACTGAATCTGCACTAGCTGACTTGTGTGTCACATAGTAGTACAAAACACTAACTGACATGAGGTAACGCATAAAATTGTTATTTAAGTGCACTGTATGTTTATCATATAAGCATGCTGAAAACACTACGACAACAAAACAGAAATTAATCATTGATTTCATCATCATCTTCATCAATTGCATGCCATTTTAAAAAATTAACATCAAGTTCACAAACTCGCATTGAGATATCAATCAGCTTTCTACATTTTTCACTAAGTCAGTGAACAGGGAAATTACTGAACAAAGCCTGTAAGCATGCAGTGGGTTTTACCTTGACTGCCCCCTCTGCCTCCACAAACCAACGGCGCAGCATTGCTTGGACCTGTCCATCTGTCAGCTTGCTGTTGGCAGTTTGGATCTTCCTCTTCACTGTGTCTTCCAGCAGCAGACGGCGCAGACGCCAGTAGAAGAAGTGGCGCGAGGTTTGCCATTCAAGGATATCCTGAAGTAGGCAAAAGACACGCAGCTACTGTTATCATGAGCTTCTGCATTTCCTTATTGAATTTAGTGCAACATTAGACAATTTTCTGCATGTTCCAGTGCAACTGTCACACTGCATAAGAAGAAGCGGCTTTATTTTGCTTCACTGTAACATGTACAACAAAATTTAGTTTAGAGCTGAGTTGAGCTGAGGGCCCCGGGCTGCTGTGTGCATATGCACCACCATCATGGGCAACTTGGGGGTTCAGTGTCTTGCCCAAGGACACTGACATGTGGACTGCAGGCACCGAGATTTGAACCTTCAACCTTCTGGTTGGGAAACAACTGCTCTACCCAACGCACCACTGCCGCTTGTAAACTGAATATTCACCAGATTGGAATAAAAATGGATGCCATTTTAGAAACTATTATAGATCGATATTTCTCTGTAGATCGAGTTGAACATGTAGACCAGTACAAGTGATAAGTTGTTCCACTCTACACTGTGCGTAAAAATACCCTCACTGCCATCCATTTGTGAAACAAGCCTGTGGTGATGTGGATAAAGACACTTTGTGTGTTCGTGTATTTGTATATGAAAAATAGGACTGAGAAGGCACAGAATGACATGGAGTCAGCCTGAGGCTGCTCTGTGGTTTCTAAGGTGATTGACTGGGTTCAATACAAGATAATTATGAAGAGGAGTCTTTTAGTTTGGTGAGACCAAACATCCCTCACTAGGCTGGTGCAGCAGCAGCTAGACTGACACGGCCCTGTGGGCTTTTCAGGTTATTTGCAGACAGCATTTAGGCTCTCACCGTTATAACACCCTTCTCCTGCATGCGACCTGGGGTGTCATGGAGGTCTGCAAACTGCAAAGCCACCTGGTGGTAGATGGGCAGGAGAAACTCCTCACGCTCCTTCAGCTTGGTCTCCAGTTCTTTACGATCAGGGGGACTCAGCTCTGGAGTTCCTGTTCGGAGTTTTAAATAAATGCCATAAAAAAAAAAATCATCATCAAATCATTTTCCAGGAGCGCACATCTATATGATGGCAGGTTTTGATTACAAGCTGAGTATGTGGTGAGGAAACACCAGTTAATACTAACAGATATAGAACACACAATGTACCAGAGACTAGGTGTAGGTGAAAACCTTTACATGGCAGTCTTAGATTGGGCCTTCCATTACACGTAGTTCTACCGCGATCAAATTACGATCAACGCACAGCTGTGAATTAACTGCTGCTCACAGCATTTTATTTTAAAGTGCCCCAAGACCTCAAGCTGCTGTCACCAAAGACTGATTTCTGTCAATTCCAATCTATAAGCTCTCAAATCCTCCCCAGTAACCATCCATTCCACCAGTTTGCTCAAAGCACCAAGCCTGCTCAGCACTGAATGGCAGTTTGTCTGAGCCCTAAGCAAAATCAATAGGCTCCACAGGAGAAACAGGAGAGCTGGTGATTGATCTGAGCAGGCTGTGACTGACACGTCTCCTAGGGGAACTCGGTGAAGATGATACAATCAACATCAAGTAAAGAGGAACTGTTAAAGCTGCTTTCATCCGACATATTGCTCCTTACTAAAACAGGATGGCAGGGAGAAATACCATGGATGAAAACAAACAAAAGGCTTTAATTAGAATTGAACAGTGGGACTCACCCAAACTTTCAGCCAAGCCTATGTAAATTGGATCTATCCTTCTCATGGTCTTCACCAGGTCCTTCTTCCTAAACTTGATCTCCACAGTTCCTTCAGGCTCCAACACTCCACCTCTGGCGACAAGAACGATTTAAGTAAAGAGAAGTGGGCTGATAAACAGGATTCTTAACCTGCCATTTTACTGTCCATCTCACCGGCTGTCCTTGTCGGCGTACATTTCCATGTGACGAGGGTTGATGGTGGAATCTATAACCACCCAGGAGCCTCCCCGGAGCTCAGCCTGTGGGGGAATATAAACCAGTACCGGCTGCTTGTACTCCCTCAGTCCGTCCACAATGTAGGCCCCAAACTTCAAGACCTGGTCATACATATCTAAGGAGAAAAACTTTCAAATGAGATGTTTAAAAGAGATAAATTCACATTGACTCATTACTATAGAAGCAGAAGTACCTTTCATTCCACCTGAAAAGCCCCTCCAGTTGGCAAACACCATGAGAGGTAAGCCCTCTCGGTTCAGGTCCTTAATGGCCTGGGCTGTTTTGAAAGCAGAATCTGGGAACCATACCTGTCCTGCTTGCTGGATGATCTAAATTTACAAATCAGAAAATCAGTATCAGTTCTTTAACATGTATAAGTATAAAAAGTAGAATAGCTAGGACTCAAGTGTATATATCGAGCAAGCCTGTACCTTCGCCTCAGAGTCCAAATTGGCTGGATCAGCTGGGATTGTCAGCTCCACTGACCTGGTTTCCACAGCAACCACTCCAGTAGGTATCCCACCCAGTCTATGGAGACAGACCTTTTAGCATTGACATCTACAAAGTAACTTGACAACGTTTTATAATGTCAAGGTAATTATTTATGCTGTAAACAGATTAATTAACATTTAACATTTTTGGCAGCATGTCATCTGGGTTTAGTGTGTTGTTGGGACACTTGCCTGGCTCTGCCTACCACCACACTCTGAGCCCATGGCTGCATGATCTCCATGAAAGAGCCATGGTCAAAGAAACCACTCTGCCAGGAACCCTTTGGAGCTTCATACACACAGAGGAGTGAGAGGAAGTGTAACACAAAGCGCAGCAGGTAAAAAAAGAAGGGTGAAACAGGAGAAAAAGTGAAGCTACGTAATTACTGCCAATTGGAAAAGCAAATGAATCAGTCTCCAGAAAATATTCAGTTTGTTTTAAATCCATGGCTTTCTTCTACATCCAGTCTGAGGTTGTGTGTGTGTGTGTGTGTGTGTGTGTGTGTGTGTTTTGACTCAGAATCTGTAATCTTGGCAGAAACCATGATGGATGACTCTATAAGGAGGCTTGCTCAGCTCTTTTTCTGCCTATACACTCTGAGAAACATGCTCGGCCTCCGAGGTTACCATTCAATTAAGCCTAGCCACTCATTACTACCAGAGACGTTGACTGGCTTACTACATGGCCTCCCAATCTCTTTGCTGTTCAGAGCTGTAATTACACTGCTGTGGAATTTGCTCAAGTCCTGACCTGTAGTGTAAAACACGGTGCATCCATTTTGGTGTTATCTCGATCATCCCTTTAGCAGTATGATGTTAGAGTACAGTGTTTCTTAATAGCCTAATTCTAGTAATTAATTATTTCAACCTTTAACCCTGCTGATAGTAGGCTGAAATGATGAATCTTTAGATTTACTTTAAATAACACACACACACCAAAAAAATCAGCATATGACTCTACAATTGCTGATAAAGCATTTTGAATTAAAAGGGACAAGGATGCAATATAAGGTAAACATATTTTAGCACAACACAGGATTTTATATAGCCACCCCATTCTTCATTTTTGGAGCTGAAAAAAGGTTGAATGTAGGCCTGCAAATAATAGGTTTCATTACCAATTGCACATACATGTATTACTCAAAATATAGTCAAAATGTCCACTGTTTCTCACTGAGCTTTTCAAAACTGACCTGTCAAGATTACTTGTTTTTTTCAGACCAACAGTCCAAAGCACAAATATATTTACTTTACACTGTTATAAAAACAGAGAAAGGTTGGAGACTTTTGAATTTTATACGTAATTGATTGATAACAAGCTAGCCGCTCACTCTGGCTGGGACGTCCTGCTAACATCCAGCGAGGGTCATACGGAGCCTTGGTTGGAACAAACTCCACTGGCCGATCTATGGGATCCTTGGCAGTGAGGATCGGCACTGGACTAAATTTACACTGAAATAAAAAATAAATAAATAAATAAAATCTTTATTTGACAAAATAAAACACACAGCTCTAAATACTGAGATAAATTCACAAATTCATGATGCAGCATCTTATTCAAACCAATAGCTAAAATACCTCAGGCATGTAGGATAACCACTGCAGAAGAGTGAAGACTCCCTCAAAATCATCACGAACTGTACAGTGGGTCACACCATTGTTGTGCATGATTTGAATACCACCAAGCTGGTTGTTTGATGTGTATACCTCTCTGCCCAGCACCTGTAAAAGACAAAGATGTGGATTCTGAAATCCAGGACTGTCCAACATTCAACTCTGGATTTTATGGCATAAACCATGATAAAAAATAAAAATAAGGCTTTCACAAAAAGGGCTCTATTCTCCTGGGGCACAGCAGTGAACAAAAGTCTAAACTCCAGGTGAAGGGGTGTGTTCAGCAACTTTTTATAATTTTGGTGACAGCCGGCGTCAGCGCATATTGGGCACAGTCAGGTGCAATGTGGAAGAGAGGCTGAATACATGATTAGTGGGAGGAATGTGGTATGAGAAGGAGGAGTCAGAGCAGATTTTGGTAACGGCCAATCAAAGCAGCTCCTCTCATCTGCTCTAAAAGCATGCAGAAACCTGCCTTTGATACATGGAGATTTAAGCGAAAAAAAAAAAAAAACTATCAAAAATTATTATTTTTATCCGCAGTGCCACGCCACCAAGAGAAAAAAAAATGATTATACCACTGCAAAAATTATGTGCAGCTCTTAATGGGAGGTCACAAAATGTTTTTAATGTATAAAAGTAAAGAAGAATGAGACACTTGGCTGATCTTTGTCAACAGACTCCCTGTTCAAGCTGTGACCCAGTGGAGCTGCTTCGTTAAAACCAAGCAATGACCTGTGGTTCTGCTTTTTTGTGTTGTCCCAATGCATACAAAAAAAAAAAAAAACGAACATGAAAAAGAATTTGTGACTGCACAATTTTCTGGGAGAAGTGGTGTGTTATCCGACAGAAATGCAGGGGTGCCAATATTGTTAGCCATGACTCTGTGTGTGTGTGTGTGTGTGTGTGTGTGTGTGTGTGTGTGTGTGTGTGTGTGTGTGTATATATATATATA